AAAAAAAAAGTCTAAAAAAAATTTAAATAAATAAATAAAATTTGGAAAAAAAAATAAATTCATCCATCCACTCTGTGTGCACACTGTTTCCTCGTCCTTGTCTTTTCTGCCTGTGCTCCAGCATCTAACATCCTTCCTCTTTCCTTTGCAGGTCCTTTTCTTCCCTGTTGCTTCCAGAAGCCCTCACCTTTTACTCACGTACAAACACATTTTTCTTTCCTTTCTTACTGCAATGCAGCTAAGATTGTGAGAGCGTGCACCACCAATGTCAAGGCTCTCCTCTTGCCCTCCGAGAAACAGTACTCCAGAGAGCGCTTCTCCCCCCAACCCCACACCAGCTCAACCACTGCTGGCATTTCCAATTTATAGCCTTTTAATAGTCCTGGCATTCTCCAAAGCTTACTGCATCCATCTTTAATACAAATTATATTTCTGTCTCCCAAACCTGATGTTGACAAATGTGCAAGAGCAAGTAGCTGGAGGTACCATTAGATCTGGCTGATTTATTTGGATACATCTAAGTATTGGAAATATCCCAAAATGCTCATACTTCTCTGTTTGTTGCCTTCTCCCCGAAAAAGTAACTTTACTCTAGATGCTCTTTTACTTTATAAGAAAGCAGGTGGCAGACTTCACAGTGTCTAAAAATCTACTGCCATCCAGCATAAATGAGGAGCCCAGGGCAGCGGTCTGCTCTGCATCTTAACATGGGTCTCCTTTTCTCCACAGGCTGGTTATATGTCTGGGATGCTGGTGCCTGTGGGGGTGGGGATAGCTGGAGCCTTGTTCATCTTGGGAGCGCTCTACAGTATTAAGGTGATGAACCGGCGAAGGAGAAATGGCTTCAAAACGCACAAAAGAAAGGTATGGAACCAACAACAGCAAAACCCAACCAGTTTCGGAACAGTCTTTGCTTTTCTAATTTGCTTAATAAAGCACACCAGGTGTAATGATGCATGAAGTACCTGGAGGTGCCCAGTGCTTTGGATTTGTTGCTCTGGCTGCTGCCTTGGCTTTCCTCTTTGGTTTGTCATTAAAAGGGGGCCTGTTTCTCAGCTCGGCTCTGCCTCAGAAGGAGTTTAATGCTTCTCTGTTCTCTTTCTCCAGCAGAGAGAGTTCAACAGCATGCAAGATCGAGTAATGCTCTTAGCTGACAGCTCTGAAGATGAGTTTTGAATTGGACTGGAATTTCATTGGGATAATCAACGATGCTATTATTTTATTTTTTATTTGGGGGCAAAAAAAAAAAAAGGACAACCGCCTGCCACATCGCTGCTGTCAGACCATCAGTCTCATTATTTGCTGGATCGATTTTTCTTGCACTGAGCAGAAAAGGCATGCTGTGTACTAAATGTACTATACAGTGTTTGTTTTTATTCTGTAGTGAATTTTCTACAACCGTGGGCTACCACTCATAAAAATGCAGCATACATCTTGTTCCATAGGAGTTGCTAAGTTAGATAGAGTAAATATTTTGTATTTTTCCACAGTGTACTTTTCCTTGGTTTGGATTACCTGCCCTAAGTCTAACAATTATTGCTACCAAGGCATGCTTAACTGAAATAGAAATCTTAACAAAGACTCACTTGTGATGACTGCAGTCTACCTACGTGAAGCCATAGGCTTGTGGGCCATGGTACACATTACATTTGCATCAAAACTAGCAGCAACTCTAAATGAAATCGTTTTCATCAAGAAAATCTCTCAGCACATTAGGATTATATATAGATTTGTGTGTATCTTGCATTATGTGTTTCAGTCTTTCAGTTTTACTATCTTTCTCTTTCTGTTTTATTCTCATTGTTGGCAAGGAAGAAAAATACATCATAAATAACACATTAAATTGACTCAGTCTTAATACATGCTTGCTCTCTTAAATAGTGTAATGGAGTGCAACAGACCTATCAGTGGATTCTTATGTGTGTATCATTAAGAGACATCCTTTTTGTGTACCACTGACTTTGTTGAGAAGAAATGAGGGAGAAATCAAGAAGAACATGAAGGTAGGTAAGCTCCCAGTGCATTTAGCTCTACTATTTGGCTCTGTGCTTGCATGGCCACTGTTCAGAGTTATTCAAAGCGCTTGTCTACACCTGTGATCTTGGCCATGGAATGATTGGGCCACCATTGGTTCTTACTTGGCTTATTAGAATAACAGACATGCTCTGGTAGATGCAGACTCAGGGGCAGAGTTCTGGTACACAATGGAGCTTATGAAAAACCAGCCTCTCTCAGGGCACCCCACTTCAGGGGTGTTGGACTGTGTTAGATCATTTCTTATTCCCTTTAGAATGTAATTCCTTGCCTTCTTTTTTGAATCTGGGTATTTGGGACTTTCGGTAAGTTGAGTTTTGGGGTAAAGACTTGGCTCATTTCCATGGAGGAATAAACATTACTAATAATACTGTTCATGGTGCTTTACACTTCAGAGAGCTTGTTCATATCTATCAGAGCCTGTTCTATATTAAGGCAAGTTGTACAGTTATTCCTCCTAGCTGCTGTGTGAGGTAGGATGTATATTCTCCTATTCAGCTGAAGACAGAAGTGAAGCAGAGAAATGAAATAATTATTTCCAAAGTTATATCCAGGAAGAATCAGGACTAGAACCCACCTGGAGTCAAAACCAGGGACCCCTATCTTCAGTTCAGTGCCCCTTCCACATACTTGGGAAGAAGCAGTGACATTTCAGAGTTTTTTTTAAAACCAAGGTTCTAAGGCTGCTTGGTGAAGGAACATTTCTTATGAGTTTCTATCTTTGTTAAATGAATAATGCCTTACTAATTTCTCTCTTGTTTACACAAATTCTTTCCTGTCCCACCTCAGCTACTTCCTTTAAAATCACACAACTTAAGTATCACCTCTAGGGAACTAATAGAGAAGCCTTTCTAGAATCCTGAATGCTAGCTGGCTTATAAGAGAGTTTTCATCAAATAATTTGAATTCTTTTTGCTAAGAGATGTGTGAAATTGGCCAAGGGAAACNTAAAAAATACATTTGGCTAACTAAAATATTCTCTGTTCATTTACTGATGGTATTAGGAATAGTTTTGTGTTCTGTTGCATTTTTTAAAGTAAATGAGGATTAAAACCAAGACTATTACTCTCATTATGTTAATACTCTTGACCCTTTTCCTGTATTTCATACAATGAAAACTTCATTGTATCAAATTAACTTAATGCCGTGAAATTTAAGCAAGTTATTGAATTAACACAATGATATATAAGTAAAAAGATGGCTGTTTACATTTTATTCTCTTATTTTCCCTAGTGAGAAGCTGGATGGAAAAACTAAAAGACAAGGTAAGAGAAATATTTTCTTTCTTCAGATTTCCTTTAGAGGGCATGGCTTTGGCAAATAAAAGATTTTTCAGAGTGATGGAGCTTTAATTCGTTATTCCGATTCTGGTAATCTGTGCAAAGGTTCAGGGCCCCGCAAGAAACAAGGTCTTCCCTTTAGGTTCCTTCTCAAATAACCCTTATTCTTTGGATCACCATTCATTTAACAAAAAAAAATATTTTGTTGGGGAATTGGGAAAGGGGAACAGCCAAGTTGTTGTCCTTCAGTCTTAGTTGTGGAGGACGCAGCTAGCTCAGCTCCAAGTCCAGTCGCAGTCCTGCTGCCCGATGGCAGCTTGAGGCCGCTCAGCTCAAGGTTCCCTGTTCAACCTTAATTGCGGGTGGGCGTAGCCCTCCATCCCATGCAGGAGTCGAACCCAGCAACCTTGTTGTTAGGAGCACGTGCTCTCACTAGCTGAGCCATCCTGCCACCTGTTGGCAGCTTAATGGCAGCTCAGCTTGGGTGCAGCTCACTGGGCCATGTGGGAATCGAACCTACGACCCTGTTGCTCAGAGCTTGCGCTTTTAACCAACTGAGCCACTTGGCCGGCCCACTCACCATTCATTCTTAAGGCAACATTGAGAATGCTCAACTGAGTAATATCTTCATATTATCAAAATGGCATTCTTTCTAGGGAATTTCAGGAGTGCAGTTCCATTCTTCCGGGCATTTCTTGTCCCAATGCAAGGCTCTTTTAAGCCTGATCTTCCTACATGAGGAAGAAATACTTTGGATTTTGGAAGACATTGATTCTTCTGACCCAAGGGTGGACTTGATTTAAGAATAAAAGTTAGAGATGGAATGAGCATCCTTGAACCATAGTGGGGGTGGGGCGGGGCGGGGGTAGAAACTCCTGAAGTCCTGAGCAGTCTTCTTAGTCCCACTGTTATGGGACTAAGTGCCACTACTTACCAAGTGATAATGAGGTGACCTGCCTGGAATGGCCAACTATAGGAAATTATTCGGTTGTCAGAAAAGTCATGACGTATTTTTTTCTCTGTTTTTCATTGCAAAAATGCATCATGACTTTTCTGACAGCTCAATATTTTCCTCTCTTGCATTAATCCCACCATCCACTTAGTGATTGACAATATTAACATCCTTCCGGGTTTATATTTTTCATTTTCTTTTGATTTTCAACACTCTCC